GAGAGAGAGAGAGAGAGAGAGAGAGAGAGAGAGAGAGAGAGAGAGAGAGAGAGAGAGAGAAAAGAGATAACAAAGGGTCCCCTTCACGTCAATTCGAGGGGCCCTGCAGGTACCTCGAATGACTCCTACGCAACATGTGGAGTCATCGAGGACCACTGCTGAGAGAGAGAGAGAGAGAGAGAGAGAGAGAGAGAGAGAGAGAGGGAGAGAGAGAGAGAGATGACAAAGGGTCCCCTTCACGTCAATTCGAGGGGCCCTGCAGGTACCTCGAATGACTCCTCCGTAACATGTAGAGTCATCGAGGACCACTGCTTCAATTAGGAGGATGGTCTCGTTATCTGTGGAAGAGGTACGGCAGACCACCAATATATGATTTGGATTCGAATTCAAGGCTGTAGCTCGGCAGTTATGGTCACCAATTCAGCTAGAGCCTGTTGGTGTCTCCCCCTGATTCTCAGGGCCTCCCTCCACCACTCACCAAATGTATACAATAATAGTAGAATGAATCTTCTGCTAAAACATGGAACCATATACCGCCATATGCTATGTCTTTTGTGCATGTGGTGAGTAGTGGAGCAGGCTCCACTGTACGTATTCGTATAAAAAACAAATACAATAAAACGAGCGCTCCCTCCACCAAATGTATACAATAATAATATTAGTAGAATGAATCTTCTGCTAAAACATGGGACCATACACCGCCATATGCTATTTCTTTTGTGCATGTGGTGAGTAGTGGAGCAGGCCCCACTGTACGTATTCATAAGAAAACAAAAACAAAAAAACGAGAGAGCTACGGGCATCTTCATCCTAACCCATAACTGCCGACATACAGACCTGAACGCCAACCTTCAGAATATATTGGTGGTCTGCCAGACAAGAAAATGCAACCTGTGACTTCTGCATAGTTCGTGGGGCAGGTGGCGACTACCCCCTTCTAGCGAACTTACCCAACCACTGTGTGGGATTTGCAGAAGGGAGGGGGAAGGCCAGTTTCCATACCCCGCCTAAGAGAAAAGTTGGAATGAGCTCTATTTTATGCTTTGCCTTTTTGAAACTTCTGGGGGTAGGGCCTGCGGAAATTGAAATTTGGCAGCCCTTGTCCAAAAAAAAGTTCGGGCCGGGGGCGCGGCTGGTTTGCGAGCTCGTGCGGCGCATTTAACTTTTTTGCCGAGTTGGGGACCCTAAGGAATGACAAAAGCCGTACTTTTTTTCTTTTTTTTTTGGACCTAATTTTTACAGTGCGGAGCGCAAATCGTGAGCAAATCCGCGCACCGAGGTGCGCCGCAACTATGGTATACATGAATTAAATTTATGTATTTTCACTTGAGTTTATAACGGGTTATGAAACATGAGCAGCAGAGCTCACAGGGATTTCACTGCACTGCTAGCAACAGGGACAATGTATGTAAGGTCCAAATCGCAAACAAACTGAGCAAGCAGTCTTATGTCAACAAACAGAATAAAAGTTCAAAACATAGTTGACGTTTCAAGTTTTCAAGTCAATTCTCCCATTCATTTACAGGCCTCGGGTGGATGCCTTGCCAATGAAGGATGCAATGAAATGTGAAACGCCATGAGGAGAAGGACTATGTGATCCATGGATTTCATAAGGACACCTTATCCTCCAAATGGCCATTATAGCGGGGTCCAAATAGAATGAGCCGAATATTCCACGGGTAAGGGATTCCATTCATGTATGCCCAGCTCCATCCCACCATCACCAGTGTTCCGGTGTGGCTCTTCTAGGGGCGAGCAAGGTTGCACAGAAGGAGCATGTTAGAGGGAATCTCAACCTTTCCCCAAGAACACCAAACACAGGGAAAAAAAAAGGGAGAGGGCAGCAGTTGGGTACCTTTCTTGCTGCGATGACATGCGGATGACCACTGAGTCCCTCTGCCTGCCGCCTCGTATGAGGCGATTGAGGTGCGGTCACCACATATGCATGAGGGATTTCGCTCAACACAAGTCCTCCATCAGATGTTATAGTCTCCAATAAATTCTTCTTTGCCTGGGAGTCAAAACCTGTCAGCAGAAACCTCATACCCTTGAACAAATGTTGATGTTTGTTTCTTTCTGACGTGTCCGCCATTCTGTTAGCTTCTGTGTTGTTCTGTTTGTCCAGTTTCCCATGATGTTTCCCTACCCTTTCTCTGCAAACCCGCATCCCGGCTTTTCTACCTTTCCGGGTATCGCTAACACCGCCGCCAACACCAATCATGCCACCTGTTTTGTCAGGCCGTGAATCTTTTGCAACCCTGTTTTCATCTGGAAGCAGTTCACGCCTACACGTGCGACTACCCTGCAAGCTGCACCAGTCAACGCCTCTCCCTCCAATCCCAATCGACACCCGCGTGTCTTTAAGTCTCTGCTGCACATTTTCCTGCATACGTGTCGAACTACGACAGAGACCTTGACGCCCAGGAGATGGAGTTAGCATGTCTTCCAGTCTCTGCTGCGCATTTTCCTGCATACGTGTCGAACTACGATGGAGGCCTTGACGCCCAGGAGATGGGCGAGTAAGCCCATCTTCCCGTCCTTGCTGCGCGTTTTCCTGCCTACGTGTTGGACTACGACGGGGGCCTTGATGGCCAGGAGATGCAGGAGTTACCGGAGCAATAGAAGGCGACATACGGCGGCGTTTCCTCCTATCGGTATAGATACTTTTTTTGGATTTCTCCTCTCCTTCCGGATTGCGAGAGGTATCCCGACTCCTAACATCTTCCTCACCCACTCCTCTGATCCTGACAGAGCTACTCGAAGGCAAAGATTTATTTGGCCATTCATTAAGGGTTCCTACACTGCTAGCCTCATCAACACCAACTTGTTGGCAATGTCCTGCAACATGAGCAGCACTTGAACATGCACCTTGCTCATGCACACCTTCATTCTGTGCCCAATTCTGCTCCTGAAAATTTAGCTCTCTCATTTTGTGCGTTGACCTGCTCCCCACTTCGACCGCAACAAGGCAGTTGCTATCCCTGTTTTGATTGGCATTTGTGGCTTTGCTGATCTCCATGGCATCCGCATTCCCTGCATCAGAGGCTGCATTCACAGTGCAGCTTCCTCCTGTTCTCTCCAGAACATCAATTTCAACTCCTTCACCTGTGTGCTGAGAAGTGTGCACTTGGAACACAAAGTTTGCCTCTCTGCCACTGACAGAATCTCTAGAGCCATCACCTTCTCTGCCAACAGCACTCGCATCATGATCCTCTTCATCATGACACCCTCCCTCGACTTCGTCACTCTCCACTTGCCTCTTCCTTTTACTCCCGACCTTACTAAGCCAACACATCAGAGATGGGCCTGAGTCACGGCCAGCAGCATCCCCTTTGTCTTCTTCATTGGGCCCCCGTGGACTAGAACTGCTGCTAATTGCTCTCATCATGTCAATGCCCTCGACCTGGTCCTCCATGCACACATGCTTGTCCTTCCTTCCCTCACCTTTTCTATCCTGGGGGGGGGTTCTCGGTCCTGCTTTGGGAGGTCTTTTCCAGCGATACAAGTGTCGAGATGGTCTCACATCAGAGCGAGCTGCTCGGTGCTTCACAATCTGACGGCGAGGAGACACACGGCGACTATTACTCGGCCTCAACACTATGCCCCCCTTTCTCGCTGTGCTCCGTCCTGATGTACTAAGATGCTTGTGAGTCAGTCGAACGAGGTGCTGCTGACCCGTTGCAGATCCCTGGAATTCCTTATCACAATTACCAGGGACATCAGGTTGGGCCATACCATTGGTGCGAGCTTTATCCTGCTCCCGGTCGTTAGTTCTTCCCTTCTGCTTCGGATTCAAACCCGGACCCATAGCATTGCTCATTGCATGTCCATGATGCCGCTGCTGATGTATTTCTTCCCCACTTTCTGGGGAGGGTGACATTCTGCTGCCTTCCGGTTGTAGCCTGGCTGTGCTATCTCTAAGAGTTGCCATCTGTTCCAGCCGATCCGCTATATCTGCCATCGCTGAAGGAGATGCGTCATCCTTCATCTGCAATCTCATTGTCATCCGTGAGTCAGACGTAGTTGCCACAGTTTCCTGGACCCCAGTTCCACCACCATCCTGATTTGCATTGGGAACACTCTCCTCATCGTGGTTGTCTGTTTGCATGTTCTCTTCGTGTTGCTCCTGGTGCGTTGCTTTCTCCTTCAACTGCTGACCTCTGGGATCACTTTCTCCCACCATTTTAGCGCTTTCCTGTTCTTTCCGTTCCTTCCACTTCCGGACCTGAACATCCACATCTTCCCCGTGACATCTCGGTTCCTTCCTCCGTACGCTCTTTTGCATACTGTCAGACTTCCTGGGTGCAGCATGAGGTGGCACTGCCTGCTGTTTACAGGTCTTCTTCTGGATTACTACCTCCTCTTCCACTACTTGAAAGTTGTCCTTTCGTTCTTCATGCTTCCTCCCCTCTTTTTCACCACCCTCTATGTTGCACAGCTCTTGTCTGCATCCTTGCTTCCTTCCTTGCTCCTGACCTTCGTTCAGCAACTGTCTCCCGCAATGTGCCTCTGTGTGCGTACCCGCCTTCCAACTTGCCATATTATGATCTGTCATTTCCACAACACCGGTAACCTCGTTCTCCTGCTCCTTACCTCTGCATCTTCTACCTTCCCACTCCTCTTCAACGTCTTCAGTTTCGAGACGTAAATCCATAACGCATGTCCTCCCCTGTTCTTTTTCCTGCGCCCCATGGCCTCTGTCCTGAATACGGCAAGCTGAACGTTCTGTATCTGTGTTCGTCCATGCCGAGTTCCTTCCTTGAGAAAGGCCATCCGCAGGAGACTTTGGAGCCGCTGACGGTGAAGGAAGGTCAAGCTGAAAGGTCCTGTTCTGAGAGGATTCTACCTGAGAGATATCACACGGAGTACAGGGAACAAACGAGCATAAGGGGTTTGAAGACAGGGGCAACATTGATACTGAACTCTGCGTGGATTGGATGATGGCAAGATCCGTTCCTGATCCTGGGTCCAGGTCCTGTCCCCGATTTCTCGTTGCCACACCACCCACAATACAAGGTTCACAACTCCCGCCAGCTTGGATATCTTCACTGCTATCGCACTCACCGCTATGTATCACTTCAGTTGCTTCAACAGCTTGTCCGACATCCGCCACAGATTCTACCAGCAATGTGGAAGCAATCCTGGAAATGTTCGGGTCAACACCTGGGAACCCGTGATTCAACAACGAATTAAACGGTTGAAAACTGAAGGATGGTGTCTTGTCTTCTACTCTCCCCCTGGGTGTTTGTATGCCTTCAACCAAGTCAACCTGTCCCATAGAGTGCAGCAGAATTGGCGCTCGTCCCTGCTGCTGCCGAGTTGATCACATGTGATCCACATTATCAAAAACCATGTTAGCGTCTTTTGCATGAAGTACCATTACCCCAGAACACACGGAGACAAAAAGACAAGAGTGTGAACACTGTCAAGCAATCTTTTTGAATCTGCTTATTCTCTCTCTTCTTGTTCCCTTTTTTGGGAAGGTCAAGGTCAGGAAACGGTAAAAAATAACTAAAAATGTCTTAGTTGAAAAGATGGGCACAGTGGTAAAGGATGATCATCGTATGGTACTAGTCCATGACCTGCATCTGCGTTCACTGGCGTTAGATGAGCCCCTGACACAAGACGGGATTTGAACCCTTAAACCACAAGTACCTTGGAGCCTCCTTTTTCCAATGTGGATTTATCGCGCATGCCAGTGCAAGCCAACTGGCGCACGAACCCTTCTTCTTTTTCTTTTTTTTTGCCTGATGCCCACAACCATTTCAGTCCAGTACCCACGAGCTACTTCAGTCCGGTAGGCCGAGCCCCAAGGGATATGGCACATTAACAGGTCACGTCGAGGCAAAATGGCTGGGAAAGGTACTGGTGGTTTAAGGCTACAAGACCCCAGCACTGGATAGTCTTTCTAAGAATTTGGGGTCCACGGACCCATTTCCCTTGGAGAAACTAGAAAAGCTGTGGGAAGGCAAGAGGTTAGCTAGGGATACATCTACGGGGGAGGTTACGGTGCTCTGCCAGCAAGTCCCAAGGGGACTCAACAGACATCAGGAATTACAGATCTATCACTCTTTTAACTTAGCGTACCAAATATTGTCCAAAAAAAAAAAAAAAACAAGAACAAGAAAAAGAAGAACTTTAAAAATAAAAAATAAAAAGTATTCGCAAAAGTTGAAAAGTCCAGAAGTTTATCACATATAGAACAACGCCAAGGAACCCTCAGACAGCGGCATTGGCTACTATTGGAATGTGGCTTTACCCAATCGATCACAACATGCAGATCTACACAGGTTATCACATACGGATCCTTCCATTGTTGTAATATTGTTTTTGTCTTCTAAAATGGACAAGTGCAGACAGTCAATACTTGAGAGGGACAGTTAAGCACTGTTTTTTTCAACTTTCTTGCCTTGTTGTTTGGATCAGGTAATCCATAGGAGGGGTGGGGTTTCAAACTGGTATGGGGGTATTCGGCAGTCAGGCCTCTCCATCTGGGAGTAATGAACGCTGACAGGGTTCCCGTGGGGGGCTGGAACAAATGGAAGTGAAAAAGGAGTACTTATGTATTTCCCATTGACTCGCCAGTGGAAAAGGCACCACACTCTCCTTTGGGACATCCGTTAAAATTGGAATGATACAGAGAGGATTAGCATGGCCCCTGTGCAAGGATGAGGAAGACGGTTTTTCTTTTTTTTCCTTTTTTATTTGGACCATTTCACAATTTATGTGTGTCATCCTACCGTCTTCACCCGAAAATAATGCCCGGGCGTTATATTCAACTTACCCTAAAAGGATGAGATTTTCGTTTCTACTCGTTTTTTTTCAAATAGAACGCCCGGGCGTTATATTCAAATAGGACGCCCAGGTGCAAGGAAAATGAGCGATAGCGAATTCCAGAAAAACAAGCAGCATCATACACATGAAACCAGATAGTTGTGACCTCGAACCAAAAGCAGAATTGCAACTCGAGTTCCACCAAATAAGAGCACAGCAAAAGCTCACATGTGACAATGTTGAAATGGTCTCATCATCATCAACAAAAAACCAATGTGGACATCCTATCTGGCGCTCTGCGCCCAGACTACAAATGGCAGATCCTATCTAGCCTATCTACAATGCCGCTGGTGACGTCAACAGCTCCCCGAAGTACGAGCAGATCTCGGCCAATGCCGTTCGCCTCAAGCACCAGGTATCTCGCATCACTCACAACCTCGATCCACCACTCACAGATGCCACATGCACCCATGGACCACCATGCGCCCCATCCAGCTTAGCGCAGGGCAGCTCAGCTATGGCTGCCTGCTCTTCCTGCTCGCCCGTGAGCGCGTGGGCGCTGGCCAGCAATTTGCGCAGCATGCAGCCAGTGCCCGAAGCCTGCTGTGTGCGGCCTGGCTGCACTGGGCCCCGGCCCAGAAGCTTCCGGTAGGCCCCGAGAGGCTGAGCCCCAGTCCAAACGAATCAGGCCCAGGGCCTATGGCGGTTACCCGTGTCCAACTGCCCGAAGCCTGTGTTGGGTCCATGTTGCGTATCTCGCCCAGGGCCTGTCTCAGATACATTTGATAAAGGCAGCCGAGCCTGGGCGCTCTTAACCAACTGGCGCTGCGCAACTGCCTGAATTTCCCCAGTTGTGTGGTAGTCCCAAATAGGCCTCTCGTTCTTGGTCGGGCCTGCCTTCACTTAGGGCGGCCGACCTTGCTGAAAACAGGGCCCATAAGGGCTCGTCGAGGCTCAATTACTTTCCTTTCTGCAACGACTTCTCGTAGTGAGCGACAACCTGTGGAGCAGTCTGCATCAGTTCCTCCTGGGTAAACCATCTGTCCTCCTTAGGATCAGTATGATGTCTGAACCGAACACGATATTGCAGCTTCGGTTAAGGAGGACGTCCCCTGCCTGTTGGAACTGGCATTTCTTTGTGGTCCATGATGTTGTCAATGTCAACCTCTCCATCCATGGTTGGGGGCAGCACTGAGTGACGAGAAGGAAACTGATCTGTTTCCTTGAAAGGTGCGAGCTTAGAAGCGTGAAAGACAGGGTAAGTGCGAAGGTGACCGGGGATCCGAATTACATATGACGGCCCATCCGGATCATCCCCGACAATATCGAGAACCTCCCAGGGTCAAAAGTACTGTGGCATGAGCTTGCAGGATATCCCGTGCTCCTGTCCCAGTTCTGAGGACTTGACCCAGACTCTGTCCCCTACCTGAAACGTAGATGGGCGGCGGTGCTTGTTCTCAGACTCTATCATCGCCGCATGTGCCCTGTGCATCTGTTCTACAGCTTGCTGCATCAGGAGCTCATATCGATAAGTGAATTCTAAGGTGCCTGGTGCAGCAGAAGGCTGATTCTCAGGTAGTAGAAAATCTAAGGTCAGTCTAGGTTTGAAAATCAGTAGCAGACTGTTGGGGCTCACCCCTGTTGCGCTGTGCACGGCGTTGTTATACAGACTAGCAATGAGAGCGAGTTTCTCATCTCAGTCCACCTGGTTGGGCTTGATGTAATGCCTCAGCACGTGTTGAACAGCGCGGTTCAGCTGCTCTGCTCGCCCATTTGCCTCCGGGTGATTGCCGGAGGTCATCTGCAGCTGTGTCCCCTGTTCTGCAGCTGCGGCCTTCCACGGTTTACTGGTAAATCGCACATCCCGGTCACTAATTATAGACTTTGGCAAACCGAAGTCTATGACCCAGTTTTCTTTGAACAACTTAATCACGTACTCGGTCTTGGCTGTTGCGGGCATTGCGACTAACCTGGCATACTTGCTAAACCTATCCACAATGACATAGACATATCGCATTCCACTCTTGCTGGTGACCAGTGTGTCCATGAAGTCTACGGACAGGCTCTCACGGGGCCTTTCCGGTATCGGGAGGGGCTTAAGAAGCCCAAGAGGGGCCTGTGTACGTCGCTTGTCCCTCTGACATACTTGACAAGTCTCTACGTACAGCTTGGCATCTCTCATCATTGTGGGCCACAAGAACTGCTGCAGCATATTGGCTGCAGTCTTCTTATAGCCAAAATGTCCTGTGGCATCATGACACTCGCCAAAAAATAAACTACGCAAAGACTCCCTATTAGGCACACACAAATGTTTATTCCCGGCCTTCTCAAGGAACAGCAGGCCGTTGACCAACTCGGCAGAAGTCACTTTGTCCTTCGCCTCGAGTCTGCGTATGATCTCAGCCATAAACGGATCCTCGCGATAGGCTTCCACCAAAGAACGAGTAACGTCGTCCGCAAGCCCAAAGTCAGTGATCAGGGCACCAAGGAAGTCTGGCCTACAAGACAGTGCATCAGCAACTCTGTTGTATTCTCCTTTGATGTACTGGGGTTCGAAGTCGTACTTGTAATGACCCATGTAGTAAGCCTCGCTGAGACTGAGACCCAGGGCGAACAGGGGGAAAAAGACCCCAGTCAAGACTCAGGCCTGGACGAGGCACAGTTGACAAAGTCAACTGTCAGAAATTCCAAGAGTCAAAGTCCAAAGGTACCTAGCCCAGGCCGCAGGTCAAGCACACACACTTGTTGTATGCAGGTACCCAGACAGCATCAGGTCCAAGAGAGAAGTCTGCAACTGTACAATCTGGGCCCTCAGCTGTGATTCAATCTGGACGACTGTGGGGAAAGTACCCGAGGCCAGACAGCCTGGACATCTGTTACTTAAGGCTGGCCTCGAGGACGTCAAGCATTCAATCTTGCTATGCTGCTTTGACGCTGGCTCAACTTTGACACGACGCTGGCCTCATGCTGGCTGTGCACAAGCGTTGCGGACGACGGCACGAGGTGGAGGCAGCATGCTGGCGCTTCTTCAGTGCGCCAGGCCATGCTGACGAGGCACTGCCTCTGGTCTACGTGGCAGGCTGATGTGGCCCTGCCTCTGGTCTACGTGGCGCTGCCTCTGGTCTACGTGGCAGGCTGATGTGGCGCTGCCTCCGGTATATGTGGCACTGCCTCTGATCTACGTGGCATGCTGATGTCGCGTTGCCGCTGGTATACGTGACGCTGCCTCTAGTCTACATTGCATGCTGATGTGGCGCTGCCTCTGATCTACGTGGCGCAGCTACTGGTCTACATTGGTGATGTGGCGATTGCCACCTGTTTCGATAGTTGACGTGGCATTGTCCACGCTGTCTACATGAGGTGACTGGTTGCGAGGAGGAGGAAGATCGGGATCTGTGGTTGAAGGAGAACGGGTACTCACCTGGGGTTGAAGTCAATACTGGAATCTGCAATGTCTTCATGGTCTTCATGAGATCGAGTGCCACGTGGCACTTCCGTGTGTGATCAGGAATATACTTATTATCATTGCTGATGTGG